CCTTTGGGATTAGAAGTGAGAGGTACCAATTCATTGAATCTTTAGCACTGTGTTCATTTACAAAGCAGGAAAGGTACAGGCCATTTTAGGTCACTATAAACAGTCTTGCTGGTTTGATTTTTATTTATTTTTTCCCCCCCCTACCCTCAGTGAAGTAGATGCTGCCTGTTTGGCCCGAGAGTACCTGATGTACAGGGAGAAGGAGGGGGTCAAGCACCTTCCATCAGAGTCTGCCGCACAGGAAGTCCTTAAGGTACCTCCATGCATGCCTTCTGTAAGGGGGAGGGGTGGTGTGGTGTCACCAGGGGCCAATCGGAGGCCACTGATGCGTTTAAATATGGTTTAGTGCTCTTATAGATACCTTCAGGGTTACCTTCACATTAAATGTGTCATTGATACTGTCAATAAAAACAGATTGAAAATGGGACCTTTTCTTTCCGATTCTTTGCAGGCATTTCTCGACAAAGGAAATGAGTGATCAGAAATGCAATGTTGGGACAAGGCACTTGCCCTAAAACTTCATTTTTTGGTTTGTTTTTTCACTGTCTTTTGCATACTATTCATGTTCAGAACTGTAAATAAACTTGTATGCCCTTGAATTGTATCACACTCTTGCCCATGGTTTGCTTGTTTATGCATCCCGCTGCTGGAGCAGGAGAATATCTGAAGAAATACTGAGAATCCTAGATCCACATCACAGAAGGTTCATAAATCCATGTGATGGTCACTTTCCAAAGGTAACTTTGGAAACCAGAAGTTTTTGATTGACTGCCTGGGAAATCAGAGTAACCAGCAGTAAAACTGGCTGTCAAAAACTTTAATGCCCTTCCTTCCCTCATCACTTCATTATGCAGATTACATCTAGAAATCCTCAGATATCCAGATTGCTGCTAGAGGAAGTATGACACCAGAACTAACTAGAAATGGGCCGTGCTTCATAGTAACACTTGTTTGTAATTCAAAAATAAACTACAAAGCAGATGACAGCCAGCAGGGTCTTGGATATTAAAGGGATCCATACAGCCTATTTTCTCTTGGTTGCCCAATTGTCAATATTCAGCTTTGGTGTCATCTGCTTCATTTCTTATTGCGTTCATTTATTTATTTGTTTATTTATTGCAAACATGTTCTATATGTAATTGCCTTATTATCACCCTAAACTCAAATCTTGGCACTGTACCTATATTCCCCAAAATGCATCTCTGCAAGTCAAAACTAACTCTGAACCATGTTTATTGCTTGAAATCAAACGGTCAAAATACAGGCATCAAATACATAGATGAGACTTCTGCCACCTTAACACTAGTGCAATCAATTGAAAAATACTGATTCCAAAGCAAAGATGTTGATGAACTGAAATTGTGTATGGGAAAGCATACATGTATTTGTATACTGTGAATGTAGAAGGAACAGAAGACACAAAACACAACCTTAGCACAATAATATTATGGGTAAATCATGGACAACGTACAGTGGTACCTCAGTTCTCGAACTCATTCGAATTAGAATTTCTTAAAAGTCGAACCAACCAGTTCGAAAAAAAATTACCCAGAACTTGATCTGAATCTCTGAAGTCGAACCGTGAACACAGACCTAAGAACTTGTACGAGCGGGGAAATGAGTCACGTGGCACGTCTCTCAGCGGAAACAAAGGGTAACGCTTCAGTCTCAGCCTTGCATTCGCTGTGATGGCATCATGCATGTTTACACTAGCTGAATACATATAGACAGTAAAAATACATTTAGACTGATAGACAGTAACAGTAATTATATAATAAAATACATTTAAAAAATAAAGATTTCTTATTTTAATATTGATAACCATTAATACATTTAAGTATAATAATATTGTCGTGCCAAGCGGGGACAGAGACAAAGGCGCAGACATCAGGGTATCGGGGAATACGGGGTTTAATGACAGGTAAGGCAGGCAAAACGCAGACGGACAATACAATGACCGGACTGGGGAAACAAACTGAAACACGGACTAAATACAGAGGACTAATGACAACAACCAGAAACAGCTGATCACACGGGGATTCCACAAGGGGTTAACGAGGGGGCATGGCACACGGAAGGAGCGGACGATCGGGCAGAACACATTGGTTTATTTTTTTTAAATTTACACATTGTTTGGATACATTTATTTTCTTACTTAACAAATTATTGTTTTGATAAATGTGCTTATGTGACCGACCGCCAGGCCGACACCGCGGGCTGATCACAAAAATCAGAATCGAGTTTATTGCAAAGTACGTTCACACATACAAGGAATTTGCTTTGGTGGTTGGTGCCAGACTTCGAGAGATGAGGTGGTTAATATATAAATATATATACATGTTCAGGTACTAATATACATATAAGTAGTTAGTGTATGTGGAATATGATACAGCAGTGGAAATATATACATATTTAAGTGCATGCTTGTGCTAGGATGGAGAAATAGAATTTGAGTGAGTGTTCCTGGCCTTATTGATGAGGCGGGCCGCGGTGGGGAAGAAACTGTTCCTATGACGTGATGTTTTGATCCCAATGGACCGCAACCTTCTGCCAGAGGGGAGAGTCCGAAGGAGTTTGTGACCAACGAAGGAGTTTGTGACCAAAAAGAGGAATGCGACTATGCCACCTTGGGAGTTTCACCCAAGGAGATAAGGTTGAAACAGAGATTCAGTTCAAGGAGCACAAGTTTGTACGGAAGAGGCAGAGAGGTGGTTACCGGATAAAAAAAAACAAAAAACAACTTTTAAAACAACCAACTGCTATGATGCATAAGACGAGCTGGAAGGTACCAACGGTATACAATTAAAGCCAGCAATCCCGGGGACCGGACACATTCATACAATATCCCATATAATTACTACAACACTAACATCACAGCAAAAACACAAGCAATCCAACACTGCACCCAATGCACACAACAACCCCCCCAAATCAAAACAAATAAAATTAAACACAAACAACGCAAAATCAAAGAATACCAGAAACCCTCAACGTGAGTCCGCTCAATAGCCAGTTGGCTCATTGTTAGCCTCATCCGTCACTTCAACTATCTTGGTTCCATGCTCACATCAGACTGTTCTCTAGACATGGAAATAAATCACCGCATCAATAAAGCTTCCTCTACTTTTGACTCCGAAAAAGGGTATTTGAGAACAAAATTCTGAAGATCAGCACCAATAATTGCGCCAAAAGCAGTCCAAAGGGACTGCTGTACCCTTGATGCGTTAATTAAAAAAAATACACTTCAGGCCAGACGTTCAGGCCCACCCTCTGATTTAAAAGAATAATAAACTGTACACTGCTTTGTCAAACTTATTACAAGATAATACTTAAAAACAAATGTAACTTGTAGCAACAATCACTTTGTGTTTGAATTCTATTTACTAATGTCTGAACTAGATTTACACTTGGACTCTCTTGATTGTGTCTTAATAAACTAAAACAATAGCCATGTCTGCCTGACCTGTCCCAGATCAGTTTGAGAGAGGTTCAATGCACTGTCTGCTCCTCCTTTTAATATTGTGTGTACTGTATCACAACTGATGTTAGAATTGATAAATATTTGTTATTTTTATACTTGTAATGGCTAGAAAGGCACAGCTAACAATTAAACTCAGAGCTCAAAAGCTCCTTCATGCAGTGCTTCCTATCCTCCTGTAACCTGGTCACTATCCTTGAGCAGGTAGAGGGGAACATGAGTATGGGAGAGTTGGCAGGAATCCCCTTAAAGGTTGTCTGTCTGTTTTGGTTTGTTTATTTATTTGTCCTGCCAGATCAAAGAGACCGTGCTGAGGTTCATTTACCAGAACGGACTTCACAAGAAGCTGGTGAATACCAAGCTGTTCCCCCTCCTCAAGGAGCATATAGTGTCATGCGGCCATTACAGCCAAGTGCGCGATCTGGTGGACTGTCTTATCAGCAGGAAATGGTCAGTCATCTTATGTTTCTTATTAGACTGCATGCATCTCTGCAGGTCAGGGCTCTCTGCCTATGGCTGGCAGAGTGGCGTCACTGTCGGGACCTTGAGCAAGGCCTTTGACCCCAACTGCTCCAGGGAAACTCTGACCCTGCTCTCTGACCCTTATTATATTGCTTAAATGTAAATGTAATTGAATAGTTAATCCTCAGTATTAGCTGCATCCACCTTTACTTCAGTAGGCACTTAAAATCGTACATCGTATAAATACGTTACAGGCCAGAAGCTTGGGCCCAGCCTCAGATAAAAAAAAAAAAATTATAATTAACAATACACTGCTTTTTCAAACTTTTATTACAAGAAAAAATAGAAGTACTTAAAACAAATGTAACTGACTCATTTTGAAATAATGTAAGCATTTTCTGAGTGCCTAAGTGTGTTTCCTCAAAATAACCACCCCTTGCCTTTATCACAGCAGCACAGATTAACAGCATCCTTTCTAGCCATTTTTGGAAATAACTTGTGTCAAAACCCTCCCAGCACCTTTTCAAGCATGTAGACAGTTCTGTCATTTGTAGATGCTCACTTTGAACTTGTTGGTCCAACTCGTCCTATGGATGGACTTTCGTTTGTCCACAAGACCTGCTCCTAGTCTTGAATACTCCATATAGTTCTTTTTCCTAATACCACGAAGTAAAGGTTTTCTGGCAGCAACTCAGCCATGCAGTCCATCTGCTCAGTCTGTATTAAGAGATACCAGTTTCCCTCTGTTCACATTAATCTCAGACCTCTGCAGTCATCTTCCAATCACGACAAAATGTTAATCTTCAATCTTTCATGTCACTTTCCCTGCCCCAGACTTTCTGATCACTGTTGCTTCCTGTCAACTTTTTTCTCTGTAAACAGTCACTCCATGCGTCAACATTTAACTTTCTGGCTGTTTGGTGATGAGAACCCTTCTTTACTCAAAATTTCAATTTGAGCTCTGAGTTTAATTGTTAGCTGTGCCTTTCTAGCCATTACAAGTATAAAAATAACAAATATTTATCAATTCTAACATCAGTTGTGATACAGTACACACAATATTAAAAGGAGGAGCAGACAGTGCATTGAACCTCTCTCAAACTGATCTGGGACAGGTCAGGCAGACATGGCTATTGTTTTAGTTTATTAAGACACAATCAAGAGAGTCCAAGTGTAAATCTAGTTCAGACATTAGTAAATAGAATTCAAACACAAAGTGATTGTTGCTACAAGTTACATTTGTTTTTAAGTATTATCTTGTAATAAGTTTGACAAAGCAGTGTACAGTTTATTATTCTTTTAAATCAGAGGGTGGGCCTGAACGTCTGGCCTGAAGTGTATTTTTTTTAATTAACGTATCAAGGGTACAGCAGTCCCTTTGGGATTAGAAGTGAGAGGTACCAATTCATTGAATCTTTAGCACTGTGTTCATTTACAAAGCAGGAAAGGTA